CCATCCCATGTTCACTAAGATGAGCAAGACGCATATGCCACAGTTTGGTAGTATCATCACAGGACTCAAACCTACAATGGTACTCTCTAACAATCTGTAAATATTCCCTGTAGTCATCTTTCCTTTCATCACAGTCAAAGCTCCTTTAAAAATCCGAATGGTTTCCCTATCCTCATCAGCCTTAGGGATAAAACCATTCTTGTGCAAAGTGCCCAAAGAAATCAAATTATTCTTCAAATCTGGGATATGTCGAACACCACACAATGCCCGAACAGAACCATCATACATCTTAATTATGACATCACCAATACCAACAATATTGCAACATCGATCATCACCCACATAAACAGAACCAGAATTAACCGACCTATATGTCGAAAACCATTCCCTAGTTGGCGTGATGTGATAAGAACATCCAGAATCAAGAATCCATGCATTCGTTAGTTGAGTCATTGAAATAGAGAGAATATCACCCTCACTGCAATCAGAATTATCATCCTCGACCACATTCACAGACTTGGATGAGTCATCAAACTTCTCATCAGTTTGCTTTTTCAACTTCGGACAGTCTCGTTTCATATGTCCCGTCTCCTTGCACTTGTAACAGTGAATTGTCTTCTTATCCCTAGATTTGGATATGAAATTCCGCTTCCCAAACCCTACCTTCTCTGGCTTCCGTTCACTATCTCGATTACCCTTGACATATAAGCTATCAGCTTGAGAGCTTTCCCCTGCATTCTGCTTCCGCTGGTTGTGAGCTAACAATGCTGCAGTAATCTCCTCAACTTTGATAGTCTCTTTCCCATATGTAAGAGTAGTCATCATGTGTTTGTAAAAGGGAGGCAACGAACACAACATAATCATCGCTTTGTCTTCATCCTCAATTTTCACATCAAGTCGAGCCAAATCAGAAACGATTTGATTGAAGACATTCACGTGTTGCGCCAAATCATGATCATCCTACATCTTCAGCCCATACAACCACTGCTTTAGATACAGTTTAGTCGTTAAGGATTTGGACATAACCTGACTTTCCAACTTCTTCCAAATTTCATCTGGAGACGACAAATGCATGATGTGATACATGACCTAGTCCGCCAAACATAATCGTATGGTTTATGCCACTCGATACTGCAATTCTTCCCAATCTTCCTCCTCCATCGACGCCGGCTTTGTAGGTCGCAAAGCCTTCAGGATCCCTTATGGCGCCAACAAATCCTTCACCCTTGTTTGCCATAATCCGAAGTTACCTTGACCATCGAATTTCGCAACTTCGAATTTGGCTCCTGACATCTGATACCAAATTGTTGAATAATCGGGTAAAGAAAATAGAAAGAACACAAGAATTTTAACGAGGTTCAGCAATGTGCTTACGTCCTCGGTGCCTTAGGCGGCGCTAGAATTTTTATTCAATTCAATGTCACATAGGTTTAGGTTATATCTCTTTTTATAATAAATAAACACTGGTACATATTTACAAAAATAACCTTGTACCATACCGCGAGGTTACACCCCCACACCCCCATACCACATAATTGTAACCCCCTCTACGAGACTTTCCTTTACCGGTATATTTATGAGTCATACCTAACCATCTTCAACTAAAGCCCCCACAAACCATGCATCGAGAATCCGTAGAATAATGCCGCTTACAACGTTCCTGTTAGTCATTATCTTGCGACAACAGACAAGCCAAAGGAAGATCTTGACTCTAGGCAGTCCGTGACACGTGTTAACAGTAGTCCAAACATTAGTTTGGTTCACTGCAGTATTCCCAGAACGCAGCAGGTAAGCGGATTTCAATGTAAATTGGCGATCCCGTGTCCCCCGCCAGCCAACCCAGTTCGCGTTGATTCTGGAGTCCGGTCCTTTAATTGCCGCGATTCGTAACAGGGTGTCTAGGGGAAGAAGGTGGTGAAAAATATGCCATTTCCACCTTCCCATTATAATCAACCATTGACGCCACAGTACATCGCCGAATGGAGGAGGTGTTATCAGGGTGAACATAACTATGAGCCGACCAATATCGTCAAGCCACGAGTCATACCAAAAATCTGTTTTCATGCCCGATCCAATGGACCAAACCTCCAAACTATATTCAGACCCTTTCAAAGACGAGAGCAAGGCAAAGACAAAGTTGACAAACACAGAGCCACCTAAGAGCACTGAAATCAGAATGTCAATGAATTCCAGTCCCGTTTTTCGTATACCGTCGATTATGATATAATCGGAGGATTCCTGTGAGTAAATTCAGCTTTTCTCACTTTGACAAAGGCTATAGTAATCTCGTCTATCTTGTCTCCCGTAAGGAAATGGCAGGGTCTTCTTCACACAGTTTATGCCATTGTGGAATATTGCCACTGCAAAAAGGCAATCCTGAAAACAATAAGCCTTGCAGGCATCAACACTGCAAGGGCTAATCACCTCATGGTCAAACGTCGGCCAGTCTTGTAGTTCGACCTAATCGTATAAACCTTGATGAGAACTCTGGGAATCTGCTTCACAGCCATGCATGAAATCTGCTCGGCAATTGCCATACTCATCGTTCGGATCGGATAAAGAATAGCCCGGTGAGCATTTACACTGTGGCCTTTTGTCGGGTTTAAGCGTGCAGATACTGTTGTAACCACATGTTCCACTACCATAACGATCAAATCCTGTTGTGCAGATATTATCTGGAATGGTGATTCTAACAATCCAGTTTCCATAATTCCATTGCTGTTGATAAGATCCTTTGGATAACTACATAGAGTCAAAACTCCGTCAAAGTTGAGTTACTCTATGATAATAATCTGCACAGTGAACACCATCATCTTCTCCGATGAGTGATTGTCTCTGATTGTTTCCTCTCAGTACGTAAAACGATCCATCTTCATCAAGCCTCACTTGATAACCCGAATTCGTCTTATTTGCTTGATCAATAGTGCCACTGCTGTAGTATGAAAAGGAAAAGTTGCTCTCTTTATGCCGAGAAGAAAGCTTACCACCCCTTTGGATCACCTACGTCGGTAACAGCGTATCGGTGGGATTCTCGAAGCTCTCCCACGGGCGTTCGGAACCACCACCGTAAACCACGAAATTTCCTGTATCGTTCATTCTTGCAAAGGCGACATCGCCGGTGGCGAACTCGGATCGCCAAATCAGTTGACTTTTGGGATCGGTGAGGACAAGTCCTCGGTCAGCTGTTAACTGAACCTTGGATCTTCTTGGAGCAGGTTTAGTTCCGCTTGCGTACTAAACAATGGTACGGCTTGGTATTTTGTAATACCATACGGTGAGTTGGAAAAGATCATCATCGATTTCCGGTTGGTGAAATCCAAAGGCGAAATCACTGGAGGTGGAAACCCATGGTTTTGCATCATGAGTTGCTTCGATGGAGCTGCCGACCCGAACGTCACCGGAACTACTTTGAGCGACAACAAGATGTAGGAGAAGCAGTAGGTCAGCTGAAAAGAAAGGAAGGAAAATTGAAGCCATTGATAAACTTGTAGGAAGTTAGAGGAGATGAGTTGCTTTAAAAAAGAAAGTTATACATACAGTGGTTAAAAATTGAGGCTACTTTCATGCTTACATTTTGGAAATATTGTAAATGGGAAATAAAAAATTAAAAAAATGTAGATGTTAATTTCTTTTGAGAATAGATTATTTGTTATGGTAAATGTAGAACTTGTCATGTATTTATAATGAATTTCATAAAGTATATTAAAAACACTATAGTAAATTATCTATATCTTAAATTAGTTTTTTGACATTATAATTCTCTAATTTTTCTTTCTATTTCCATATTTGTCCAATCAAGCCCTAGTTTCAGTCTCGTTTACTTAGTCCGAACTATTAATTTATTTTGCAAGAGGAATTAGTACATTGATTTTAAACTCACTAAGGGTGCGTTTTGATGGAGTAATCTTACATTCCCGGTAGGATTATTTTTTTCCTGACCAAGGATACCCATGTTTGGTTGAGTATTCTTTCCCAAGTGAAGGGAATATTTATTTCCCAACAGTGAATAATCCTAGAAATGTTATTCCCCCACACCCGTTAGGTATTATTTCATTCCATGTGTTAAGGACTAAACTACCCTTGTTTTCCCGTTTCCATTGATATCTTTATTTTTGCCTTTGCAGTCATCGTCACAAGCGAATCATCACGTCTCTGTCGCCTGTTTCCAGACACCAACATGTATGTCTCTCTTCTCCTTCGCACTCTGCCATTTTCGTGATACAAAACCACCAATTTGTGTGCCATTTTCGCAGTAACATGCATTTTTGAAATTCCATCGACTTTATCTCCGTTTGGGGCGCCCTTTTCATCTCTGTTTGTTGTTGTTGTTGTTGTTGTTGTTGTTTGTTTGTTTCTGATTGAAAATCCACCGACTGCTATTTTGTTGTTTTGAATATGATTATTTTAGGTTTTTATCTCTGTTTTTTGTTGTTTTTCTGTTTCGTGTACGAACAGTAGATTCTATTAAGGAATTTGTTGATCCAATTCCTTTTTCACTAATTATGATTGAAACTTGTCAGTGTTCTACTTTGTGGAGGATTTGTTTTGTTTATGTCTAATAGAAGTTTTAACAAGAAAGAAAGGGTTAAAAAACTAGTAAGACATGGCTTTAGACTTCAGATGCACTGCTGTTACCTAAATTGGTTGATAAATCGATTATTAAATGATAATAATAATAATAATAATAACCTAAGAGGGAATCTTAAGTGTGAGCAATAGGAAGTGTAACACAAGCTTCATAGATAAGCAAAATTAATGGCAAACAACCATGGGGCTTGTTAGTATAGAGCTAGACTTCAAATAACCTGATTCAAATATATGCAGTCTCAAATGTCAATAGCAACTTTTTTAGAAGATTAACACTCTCCAAGAATATCACAAGGTAGTAAATTTGGACTGGCAGAAAAAACATTAACCAATAAAAACATACCAGCTTAAAAGATTCTGAGAGAGACTCCACTGATGTGTACGCAAGATAAAGGAGAGCACATTTGTAGAACTCAAAAAATTCTTGAATTAATACAAAAATGCAAGGCACACAGAAATATCCTTTTCATCAGAATATCTCTCAGGTCTCTGAAAGTTTGAACCTTGGTCACAGGAATCTGCAAGAAGTTTTACAAGACAATATCTGAGACAAATGGCACAGCTAGGTCTAGTTGTTGAAGTTTCATTGGAAACGAGTAACAAAACAATTGAATAAGAGAGAAGACAGACTATTATGCATAAATGAAGTAATAAACAATGTACCAAGAGAAAGATTGTACAACTACTATTGAATTAGGAAAATTGTTTGTTGTGTGTTTGGGGGTGTATGGTATGAGATAACAAGAGCATGGATGTTAGTACATTTAAATTCCACATGAATAAAAACTAAAAGCATCTAATTTTGATAAGACAAGCATCTGATTGATAAATAATAAACTGCCTATTTCCTACTTATCTATAATGCTCTATAATAATTAGGGGTGTGCAAATCCGGGTACCCGAAATTTCCGGGTCGACGATTTCTCGGCCCGTGTCCCGACCTGGATGTTACGGGTACCCGGTAATCGGGTACCCGGATTTTGCGGGTACCCAGTAATCGGGTACCCGATACCCGGTTTTTAATTTTTTATTTTTAAATTATTAATTTAAAAAAATATATACACAAATTTAAATGTTCAAAACTTCGAATTACATACCCTAATATCCGAACATAAAATTTAAAATTTAAAATTTAAAAGTTCAAAATACAAAATATAATAATCCATAATATAAATAATTTATTATATTTTATATAATTATATATAAAAAAAATAAAAATAATAAAAACTAACCGAGTACTCGGGTAACCGGGTACCCGAAAAAACTAGATTTTGTGACCCGGGCCCGACCCAGGAAGTGTCGGGCCGGGTACCCGACCCGGCCGGGTAATTTTTTTTTAGAGAATTACCCGGTTTTTTTAGATCTGGGTCGGCGGGTCGGGTCAACCGGGTCGGGTAATTTTGCACACCCCTAATAATAATCAATATATTTACATGCCAAATCATACATTACATATAAGCATGAGCACCTCTGATAAAGCACATTCCTAATTAGAGCAAAACAACATGGAATTTTAACTCAAAGTCTTAGCACACCATAGACAGTATTCCTATGAAAATAAAACAAGGAGACTATGAAAATTTAACTGTAGAAAAACTAATAAAAAAAATTCACTAAACAAGCGTCATTTCCCCAACCTTGCAAAACATGTTAATTGAAAAATTCTGAAGCAACTCATGATGAAATATTTGTGGAGGCTTGATGTTAGTTTTATGTCCAGGAATAGACCAGTTGTGCTTTATAGGAGGACAAACGACATGCCTTTCCTTTTTAAGAATTTTAGATTGATCTGCTGCATTAGATGATCTTTCATGAGATGAACTTCCAGCAAACCCAGCTGAGAGTTTAGGAACTAGAAAATTATCCATGGCACCAAATGCACTAGAAGTGGGAGGTGGGGTTGTTTCATTTTCGAGGCCGATTTATTCAAAAACAATCTGCATAGAACCAAATGCACTGGAATCGTATGAATCATACACTTGTTTTGTTTTATACCATAAATGATCATTCAAATACCTATAAATAATCATACCTCGATAGTCAAAGAGCTCAGTAAGTTTCAGTTCAGTGAATGAAAATATAAACATAAAATACAAAGTGTGAAACACATGGCTTACAAAAGTCTTAAATGTTCAAATATACTTTTGCCCGAAAATTATTTAGACTCTGTAGAATTATGAATATAATTAGGTCTTATTTTGTACTGAATTTTGAATTATTTTTAAACAAAAATAATATAAAATAAATAGATTTTCAGGTTTAAGTTACTTAAAAAAAACTGGGAAGTGAGTAAAATGGTTAATAGGGTTTTTTAAGGGTAAAACAGGTTGAGGTTTAAAAGCAAACAAAGAAATGTGTGGCTACCTACTTGTTTTACAATAACTTGTTGAACTGTATTGACATAGTTGCTCTTCTATCATCATTTTGTTATAGTGCCATTTTTATTGTGTTCAATTATTTTTATTGTGATGACAAACAATTGTTCTTGTTAAATATTATTATTTTCTAATATTAAAATGTTTGTTCATAATAACAGTTATGGCTCGTTTACCAATGCGAAAGAAGACGCATATCGCTACAATTCTTATTTTACAACTGCAAATGATGGAGATTATGTGTCATATGCTCATGGTTATTTCAGTTATTCTTAGAAAATATAAAAATCGACCTAAAATAACTTATGCACATGAAATACTTCATAGACATAATATTAGATCACTTAATTTACATAAAATTGTATTTGAAAGGGATCGACAAAGTGTTGATAATTGTCGAATGGATAGGAGAGCATTTATCAAATTGTGTCACCTATTACAAAGTCAAGGTGGGTTAAAAGAGAGTCGATATATGTCTATAGAAGAAATGGTTATTACTTTCCTTCATATTATATCCCACCATATTAAGATTAGAGTTTTAAAACATCAAACAGTAAGATCTGGTGAAACAATTAGTAGAGTTCTCCATACAGTGTTAGCTTCAGTCTTGAAACTGCATCCGATCCTTTTTAGAAAACCAAAACCGATATAAGATAATTCAATATACGATAGATGGAAATGGTTTAAGGTATTGTATCATAATTCTAAACTTTCTTTTTAGTTAATTAGTAATGCTTAATACATAAATGGATAGTAATAATGCAATTTAACTTTATTTGATGAATATAGAGATGTTTGGGTGCTCTAGATGGAATGTATATTAAGGTCAATGTAGCTGCAATCAATAAACCTAGATACAGAACAAGAAAAAATGAAATTGCGACAAATGTACTTGGTGTTTGCACACCAAACATGCAATTCATTTATGTTTTACCTGGGTGGGAAGGTTCTACAGTTGATGGTAGAATACTCAGAGATGCCATTAGTAGAAGAAATGGTTTAAATGTTCCACAAGGTAAATTATTAGGTCATTAATATATATATATATATATATAAAAGAATGTAAAATTCTTACAAGTTTTGTATATTAATTTACTTTTTAAATTAAAATAATATAGGGTGTTACTACTTATGTGATGTTGGATACACGAATGGAGAGGGATTTCTTGCACCGTATAGAGGTCAAAGATACCACTTGAATGATTGGAGAGAAGGACACCAACCTACCACCCCTCAAGAATATTTCAACATGAAACATTATCAAGCTAGGAATTGCATTGAGAGATGCTTTGGCATATTGAAAGCGATATGGGCAATTTTAAGGGAAAAATCATTTTATCCAATGAAAACACAATGTAGACTCATTTCAGCTTGTTGTCTTCTCCATAATTTCATAAGATCTGAGATGCCAATCGATCCTATTGAATCTGACTATACTGAAGATAGTAGGCATGTTAAAGCGATTAATGAAGTAGAAATGATCAGACATTGTGAGCCAAGCAGTGCTTGGACTGAGTGGAGAGACAAATTAGCAGAAGATATGTTTACTAGTTGGTTAGTGTCGCGTACTTTAGGATATATGTTATTTTATGTAATGTATGACTTCCACCTTCTATTTTATCTAATGTTAGTGGTCATTACTTTCATGTATTTGACATCTTTATATTTTATGGCATAAACTTTATTAAATTTTATTTAATTTCTCTTCTGTAAAATTTGAATTTTATTTTGTTATGGACATTCATTACTGATGTCGTTCACTACATTTGATTTATATTATGTTACTATTTTAAATTTCATTTATGATTAGTATTGACAATGATGACATGTTTTATGTTATGTTATACATTTTTTATATACATCTTCTTAGATTGTTTCGAAGAGAAATATGTCAACATCAAATATGGAATCTCAAATGGGGAAAAACCACTGACATCTAGAAAGGTTAAGTCTTTAGTAACTAAAAGGACATGGACTAAAAAGGAGGATGCTGCACTTGTTGAATGTTTACATATTTTGGCTGAAGAACCACATTGGAAAGCTGATAATGGAACATTTAGATCAGGTTATCTATCTAATCTTGAAAAGATGTTAGAAATCAAGCTTTCAACATCACAAATTAGGGCCCATCCACATATTGAATCTAGAGTGAAGCTACTCAAAAGACAATACAATGCTTTATCTGAAATGCTGAATATTGGAAGTGGATTCGGTTGGAATGAAGAAGAAAAATGTTTAACTGCACCAAAGGATGTGTTTGATGATTGGGTTAGAGGAAGTATTTTAATTGAATTTATCTTCTTTCTATACTCTTTGTTATCTACTTAGCTTTGTAAGATTTATTAAATTTGCGATTTTATTATATTGTAGAGTCATCCAACTACTGCTGGATTGAGAAACAAGTCATTTCCATTCTTTGATGACTTTGTTCATATATTTGGAAAAGAAAGAGCTACAGGAATAACAACGAAGACAACAGCTGATGCAGTGGAACATATTGATGTTGAAGACAATGCATTTGTAGATGCATTACTTGAAGAAAATGGATTAAGAGATTCTGAATCAAGAGAGGATGTTGGTGCTTCAACTTGACAAACATCTGATGCTACTGCCTCTACCCCTACAATGAAAAAAGTAGCTAGCAAGAAAAGGTCTCGAAGTGATGATGGGTTAACCGAGCTTGTACACGAGATAAGTAAGTTCGATGCTGCATACCGAGAACCTGCCAAAGAAATTAAGGATATTACTGCTTTATTGAAAAAGGAGGCAGAAGGAAATGATCGAAGAATGTTGATTTTCACTGAAATCATGAAAATTGAAGGACTGTCCACTGATGAAATGCTTACTGCAGAAGAGTATATTAGCAAAGATGCGCACAAGGTAGATTTCTTCTTTTATTTCCAAAAGAATTCAAGTAAGATTATGTGATTAAGCAATTAGTTGAATGTCGTCAATTTAGACCATAATTTTTGACTGTCGTCCTTCTATAATTATGTCGATCTCTTTTTTATTGTGACTTTAGAATATGGTCCCAACTTTTTTGTGTAGCTTAGCCAAGTATATGTCAATCTTTTGACTTGAAGAATTTTGTGTGTATATAATATAGCCAACATATATGATTACATTTAGAATGTCATGGCTATTATCTTTTATAAGTCTGAATATTGTACAATCTTTTGATGGTTAATGTTATACTTCTTTTTGTTATGTAGTATATGACTTGCAAGTAATGTGCTAGTTTTCGAATATGTTAATTACTTTTGATAGTTTTTGTTATGTAGTAAAAAACTGTCTTTGATAGTTAACAGTTATCGCTTTCATGTGTGTATGCATTGTTGTATGTGAAGGTATATTCCTAAATTATAAAATTTGATTCTATAGCTAAGAAATTGCTTAGATTTAGGCTAGGCCAATGTAAATAACTAGGACATTTCATCATGATTGACTTTGCATCTAATAAAGTGAATTTTGTATAGTTCTTGTTTAATATCATGACGGAGTTGCATAATATCATGGTTGTTAAAGAAAAAGTTTTGGTCTTTCAAAAATACTACTGCAGTTCGATGCAATGGCACTAGAGTTTGCTAGTCAGGAGGTAAATTTTATTAGAGCTCCTATTTTATGTTTTTAGTTCAGAGAAACTATTCCATTGGTTCTATAATTTATTTAAACCAATGATGGATTTTGGGTTTTGAAGTTTTCATCCACTATATGTTTTCTCTTCTTTCTCCCAGTCAATCTTAACTGGCGACGAGCTAGGATATCAAATAGCAAGCTAGATGAGACAATTTCAAGAAAGTTGTCCTGTTATTTGTTGAACCTTCGTTTAATTGTTTTTTCTCAAGTGTTGGATTTTTGTTAAGCATCAACTTGTTTTTTATATTAGTATAATTTTAATTTTGTTTAAAGCTTCCCATTGTTTCTTGCTTTACTTTGTATCTCTTTAGATACATGTAAGCTATTTCACTTGTCCTTCGTGTATGATCTGAAACGGTCTAGTATGTTCAAAGTTTGGCCTCTGTCGGTTTTTATATGTTCGGAGAGAAATTACAGGTTGGGAAACATGAATTATTGGGTTGCTTACTTTTCGTAATAAAGAGTTAAGTACAAATCAGATTAGAACCGAGTATTAATAATTTTATTAAAATATTATAAAATATAATGATAAATGACGATGAAATATAAAATTATAGACAATATGATTTTTAGTATTATATTTTCTTACTTATTTAAATTATGTTTTTGTAATATAAATTCATGAGATAAATAATAATGATAAAGTATGTAGAATTAAATATAAATATAAAAGATAAATAAATAAATAAATTATATATAGAAAATATAATAAATATTATATCTTAGATAACAAATATAATTTACATCTTTTTATTATTATGAATATTTATGAAGAATTTTCACAATGTAAACATTTAGTTAAATGTTGATGTAAAATTTTAATATATTTTACATAAATTATGTAAAATTTAATATTGATTAAAATAAAAAT